CTTTCTCTAGGGCCGTCAACCAATGGATGCAGTTGAATCCCTTTTATTTCCAATTGTCTGTACAGTGGCTACGTAACCCTGGACATGACATTTCTGGTGTTTGTGGTGTGCCCTGGATAACAATTGAACAAATGCACTCACCACCTGCTGGCTTTTTAATATCTTCTTTGGGAAAGGCCTCTGGATACGTAGTCATTAACAACCACTAGATACTGGTTATCCAAATAACTGCATTCTAGGGGTCTTGCAGCATCCATCATATGTGGGGAAAGTGACACCTCCTACAACTGGAAATATCACAAGATGTGTAATCACCTTTTTTTCTTAGTGAAGGCAACTTTCTGGAATTTCAGGCCAGGCTTGAATCCATTCCTCTACTTGTTGATACAAATCAGGCCAATAAAATCTTAGTGCTATCCTGTCCTAGGTTTCCTCTTGTTGGTGCAGAGGTGTCCTGCCTATGGAATTGTATGTCAAAACATTAGGACCATTCCTCTACAAGCTTTAGGGATTACTGGCTTCTTCCTTTTGTGGGCCATTCTGATACATACTTATCTGTGGTCCCATACTTGGACGTAGTTTATACCTTCACTGGTATACCCCTGACTTCTACACCACTTGGGAGTATAAAGGCTGAAGAGTGAGAGGGTTGTACCACATCCACCTTCATCTTTCTCTTAATCTCGCCTCATCATGCCCTACCCTCTTCTCCAAGGCTTTGTTTTTAGCTTTTCCTGGCTCCTCAACAAACCTCTTGGTGTGATTCCAGGTCTTTCCTTTCTTGTCCCGTGATTGAATCACTATGCAAGCTGTAATGGTTTCACTAAGAAGGCTTATGAGAACTGGAAAACCTTGTCCTCCATACCCTATTGGAAGGGAGTGTTCCTACTTTAACCTGCATCATAAAACAGTGATGTGTACTGCTGCATAGATCCCTCGGTCCTCATACATACAACCTGAACGTGGCAGCTTGGTCCAGATCTCTTGCAAAGAACAAACTTCTCAGAACTCCCTTTATCCAGTAGCACTCTTACCTCCTGACTATCATGCAAAGCCTTGTGCAACACTTACTGGTGCATAGCTAATAGCTTGTTCCTCTTGAGGTACCTAAGCTGGCAATTGTGGGTTTTTAACAGGGCAGCCATTAGTTTGTGCCTCATCTGGTCTCAATAATAGAGGCTCCTTCCCCTCCCTCCCCCTGCTTTATGGTCTTAAAACCTGCTTCACACACCCCCGTTTTTTCCAGTCACCCTTGTCCCTCAGTCTTCCCACACCCAATGCTCCCCAAAGTCTTAGTGGGGACTTGGTTTCTTAGTGGTGTAGCTGTTCAGTGGGCCATCAGAGAAATCTGTTATATCAACTACCTGCTCATTGGGCTTATGAACAATCTAATTCCAAGTCTTGACCTCTTAGTCATTGCAGTAGTAAATGTTTATATTCTGGTAGTGCCCGGAGGCCCAACTGGGATTGAGATCCCATTGACCTGGGTGCTGTGAAAACACAGACTCCCTACCCTGAAGGGTGAACAATCTGAAGTTCCCATATCCAAGATCTCCTCTCTGATCTGGCTGCCGCCAGTGTGTAGCTGAGCTAATTGTTCATGGCAGAGTCTAACTGCTTCCCAGAACTGCGCCATATGTCTGTTCACCAATCTATTTTCTGGTTTCAGAGTAGCAGCCGTGTTAGTCTGTATCTGCAAAAAGAACGAGGAGTACTTGTGGCATCTTAGAGACTAACAAATTTATTTGAGCATAAGTTTTCGTGGGCTACATCTGAAGAAGTGGGCTGTAGCCTACGAAAGCTTATGCTCAGATCTATTTTCTGTTACCCCTGCAGTCACTAACTAAATCCTCCTTTATTGAGGGACAGGAATGCAGGGCATGTTTCACAGGAGGTGCATGTGATTGGTTGGTGAAGGACCCCATGTACTCCATGATTTGCAGACTTCTGCAGAATTGTGATCTAGCATCTCGGCTTTTTATTATATGAAGCTTCTAACCTTTATGGGTGCAGAGATGTCTGCCTGAGTCTGCGGACAGCCTGCAAAAGTACCACTAAGATGGTCAGTTCACCATGGTGTTAATGCTGATGCCCAATATGGATGGCAGTTCAAACCACAGCCTTGTTAGCTACTGGATTATTTTAGTGGAAACGTCCAGCTAATCTGTGCATCCCTGCCACATCCTTCCCAAACTGCTCCCTTGGGTGCAAAAAAAAATCAAACTGTCCCCTGCTCACCTGCCAGACTTTCAGCTTTCCCTTCCAGCTTCTACAAGAGTGAAGGTTCTGTGGTATGTAATACATTAAACTTTGGCAGCATAACACAATTTAAGAGACCTTAATTAGTACCATTTTCCTTGTATATTTCATACTTAAATAACATCCTCTATTTTTAGCTGAAGCTGTCCCACAATGTGCTATGTTGAGATTCACCAGTGATGGGAACGGGATGGGTGCACTGGGATATCTTGTGTAACTCAGGTAAACCCAGTATGGCTCTTTGACGTAGCCATTAGAGGGGGACCTATAAATTGGTTCGAGGCTGCAACTGCCTCTAAAAGTTAGTGGACGTGGTCTCTTAGCTGAAGTAATGGAGGTTCATGTTTGTAGATCCCGAGGTTCCGGGGTTCAATGCCTGCAGACTTGGTTTGTGTTCAGTGGAGTCTGCAATCGTCCCTGACCACCACCTTTCTCATCCGAATAATCCCATCTCTTCTCTCCCCCTCCCCCCGTCATGAGATGCTGTGCCCGTAAAACAGCCTGATTAAGACAATGGGAAGGTGGCTAGCCAGGGCGTGTAAGACGAGAACAAATACAGGCCAGCCGCAGCGTACACAAGGGGCTAACGCTTTTCTGTTGCTCTCTAAAGTCTACCACACTGCCGGAGCCCTCGGGGGTCTGGCCCTGGGTTCTCCGATTGCAGTGGTGAGGGGAGGGGACAGGGAAGGGGGACTCTTTGGACAGCCCTGTCTGCCAATCAGCGAGCCGCCAACCGCTTGTCCCTGCCTCCTCTGACTCTGCAGCAGAACGGAGCTGCCCTCTGCGCGCTGGCTCTTTCTCTTCTGCCATCTTCCGCTGCAAAGCATTGCTGGGAACCGCATGTGGGTGACGCAGCAGCATTGTCTGCAGGCACAGGAAGCTGCGGACGGGGTCTGGAAAGGAGCGAGCTGGGTTCGGGGGGCGGCTCTTGGGAACATGTCTCCCGAAGAGCGGGGGGGTTTGCCGATTTACACACTGTAAAGCGGCAGGAGTGGAGCCAGGGAGAGCTCCGCAGCTCGCAGAGCAGGCAGCGAAACAAAGGGGCTCGGAAACTTCACCCCCCCACACACAGCCTCGGCAGCTCCAGAGGGACTTGGCACACAAGGTCAGGCCGCTAGCAGAGCTTCCTTGGGGAGAATGGATGGGAACCCCCGGGTGGGGAGGCACTCAGCTGCCATCCACGTTTCCGCAGAACAATGCTGTCGGCACTGTTCTGTGAGATCCTGCCCTCTCAAAACAGCTCCCTGCTGGGGCTCGGGCTGTCCTCTCTCCTCTGACTGGGGTTGGCTTGCTTACGTGGGGTCCCTGCACCTTTTTCGGGGCGTCATTCTGGGGTGGGAATCCCGTTGCCCGTTCCCTCTGGGAGCATTTTCCGTTTGTGCTAGTGATCGTCGCAGCGGGGTGTTACAAGGCTGGGAGTTGGCGTTCTCCCTTCTGAGATGAGAGCAGAGGGGACACATTTAGGGTCCCCCACCCCAAATTGCCTTGTTTGGTTAGATGGTGGATCAGGGTGTGCCCCCTCCCACTCAAAGCAGGGTGTGCATGCCTGAACAGCCAGCCACCCCCTGGAGTGCCCGGGGCAGGGGGAGTGTGCATTTTCCCCCTCCCTGCTCTGATAGGCATTGAGGCATGTGTCTAAATGCCCCCAGACCCTGAGCTTTCCTTTCAGTGTGTGCTCATGGAAAGGCTGGCTGAGGAAGGAAAGTCTGGTTGTGGACTGTGCTTCTCTGGGAGTGGAGGTAGCCACTTCCGCCCGCCCGCAGCCTTCTCAGAAGGGCGGGGAGTAACGGGAAAGCAGCCCTCCCCAGCAGAGGCTTCCTTTGGGGGGACGTGCATCCCCTGGGGAGGGGGGGAGGGGAGCCCAGCCCATGCCCTGTTTCCTCTTGGCAGCAGGAAGCACTGCACTCGCCTGGCACATGGGAGTGCCAGCAGGAGGCTCCTGAAAACGTAGCCATAGCAACAGTCAAGTAAATAAAGCACATCTGCAAGGGCAATCTGGGTGGGTGGGGTGGAGAGCAGAGGCAGGAGGCTTGGCACTGGTAGCCCAAGAGCCCTCCTGGGGATGCAGGTGCCTGTCGCTAACACCTGGCTGTAGTATGTTGTCCTTGAGTTAAAGGCAGGTGGGCCAGCCCTGGGAACATTCCCAGAATCCGTGAAGCTCTGCCGCCTTTTGGAACTGTTAATTACTGTAAAATCCAAACTGGAAGGCAGAATAGGAAGACACTTCTAGTTACCTGGCACCCAGCACAGGGCTGTGCGGTTTCCCTGTGAGAATGACTGCCTCCTACACCAGAGCAGGGACTGGCTGTCCTGCACTCTGTCTGCTGCTTCGAGCATTTGAATTACAGGGAAGCATCATGCCCCAACTCGGCTCCTCGGGGAAACGGGCCGGGCTTCCTCTCCTCTACCCTACACTGTTTCAAAAGAACTAGTCCCCATACATGTGCACACTCCTCTCAGCATGGTCTGCCAGGGACTGCTGGGCTGAAATGGCTAGATAATATCACTTGTGTATCTCAGCTCTGCTAATGATGAACAGGTGTCTCTGCTGGGAGTGGAGCAGAGCAGCTGGGGGTGGAGTGGAGGACATCTCTTCCCCAGCTACTGCAGCAGTGTGTGAAAGGAATGTTCTCTCCCTCGCATCTGGACAGATCCAGGCTGGCAGCAGTTTCTTGTTTCCTTGCTTATGTATCTGTGCTTCTGTTTGTCTCCTTCTTTTTCTCTTCCTGACTCTCCACTAGTTGCTGCTGGAAGAGCACGCAAACAGCGACCCCAAACTGGCACTTACAGGAGTCCCTATCATCCAGTGGCCCAAGAGAGACAAGGTAAGAGACGGGGCTGTACCATGGCCCAGCCAACTGCTGATGGTTTGGGTTTCATCTAGCCTCTCTCCTCCCTATTGTGTCTTCTGCGGAGAGATTCCAGTGGTGGAAGTGGAGAGCAGACCCTGGAGTCTAATTGCCCCGTGACCCTCCATAGGGGAGAGAAGTCATGTTCCCAGCAGCCCTTCCCAGAGCCACTTAAATGCAGGAATGTGGATGGGAGGAGGCAGCAAGATGCAGGATTAGAGAGAGTGGTGCTGTCACATTCCCCACTTCAGGTGAAATGCAAAGTGCAGAAGTAAACGTAAACCCAAGTGCGCTTCTGTATACAAGTCGGCACCCACCAGCAAGCACCTCTAAGCCAGTGAACTTTCCATAAGTGGCTGTCTTGGAGCAGAGTTTGGGCCTCCCACAGATATGCCCTTTATCTAGTGTCTGCTCTCTTAACAAGCCCACAGCAGGGTGAAGCAGGCAGCTTCCCCACGCTCATGAGGATCAGTCCCAGCTATGCTCCTGCCTTCCTGCGAAGGAATGCTTCCCAGAGGTGGCAGCTAGCTAGCGATCCAGAGTGACTGCTTCAGACTCTGCCCTCACACCCTATCCATGAAGCTAAGTGTGTTGGTCTGAATACCAGTCATTCACATGCAAATGGGAGTCACCACTCTCCGCCAGTTCCATCCATAGTTTGCCATCCAGTCGTGGAGCTGAAGTGATGCCATGTGATTTATTTGTCCAATCACTTGCCACTAGTGGCGAATAGTCACAGGGAAAACTTAGTAAAAGGTCCCATAGGATGAAATGTTTGCCTAACTTATTCGGCAAATATATAGGAATAAGCAGTGAGGCCTAGATTTTAAAAAGTACATGGGAGTTAGGTACCTAAATACTTTAAAAAAAAATTTGCCTGTACGTTCATAAGTCAGAATTTGTTCCCCAAAAGGGAGTGAGCATGCTGGATAATGGGCTCCCTCTAACAGAAATTATTGTGTTGGCAGTTGGCCAAGGAGTTTTTCTGCCTTCCTACCTCTTGACTTGGAGAAAGGGAGATACAATAAGCCCACCCACCCAGGCCCTTTGGCCAGGTAGATCTGCAGTTTACCCCAGCTGGAGATTAGTTTATGCCCCATAGCTCTGTGAGGGTTAATAGTCTGTCCCTTTTGTTCTGGCTGCTCTCGCCATGGGTGTTGCTCTTAGAAATGTCAGAGTAGGATGTCTCTTGGAAGAGAATTTGGGAACTGTACTGCTCCAAGGGGCAGTGTGTCAATATTCAGGCCTGGACCAAAAAGCCTTCCTAGATGAAGAGACCATTGACTAGCCCTAACAGGCTGAGCTTGGATCCCAGCTTCCCAGTGGTATAAAGCACTGGCAGTTGGAGAATTTGCTGCAATTGTGTGGAGAAGACTGTTGCGAAGGTGCTTAGCAGCTGGGCCGGTTATAAACAGTTTCAGATTTGGCATACTTTCCCAGCCACTGTCCCTGGGTCAGAAACAGGTCTCATCAGGGGAAGGCTAAAAGGGAGCAAGCCACTGTCTAAGATCATAGTGAGATGTAGGGGCCCATTTGCAGCTCTGACTGGACTGGAAGAAGAGATTGGGGTATGGGTTGGGAAGGAAGATAAGTGCTGCAAACAGTCACTTCCCTTCCTTGGCTCATGGTATGAAAGTGCTGACTTCCCATTCGACTCTGGGGTGTAGCAGCTAGTGGCTAAGGATCTAATCCTGCCTTCCCTTGGATACATCAATTCCCAGCTCTCTAAAATGGGGAAAATGCTGACTGGGCTGAGTCTCTGCAGTCCTTTGAGATCCAAATGAAAGGTGCAAGACTGGGGCTTGCTGAGATGCTCCTGCTTCCCGAACATGACAGAAAGCTGTGAGCCATGAACCTCCCAATCTTTGACCTCTCCTTTGTGCTTCTATTGCCAGCTAAAGCTCCAGGCCCGACCGAAGGTGCGCCTGCCCACCATCCCCATCACCAAGCCTCACACCATGAAGCCAGCCCCACGCCTGGCGCCTGTAAGGCCCACAGTGTCTCCGATAGTGTCAGGAGCACGACGGAGGCGAGTGCGGTGCCGTAAATGCAAGGCCTGCATGCAAGGCGAGTGTGGCATGTGCCACTACTGCAGGGACATGAAGAAGTTTGGGGGGCCTGGTCGCATGAAGCAGTCCTGCGTCCTCCGGCAGTGCTTAGCGGTGAGTTCTACGGCAAGTTACGTTTGGGAGGGAGCGGTGGCTAGCCACTTGGGGCCAAGGTTGGAGGGGAATTTGTTTGAGCCTTCCACTCCAAATCTGAATTTGACAGAGCAGAATTTGGGGCAACCCAAGGAAGCTCCTGGAACTAGCCATCCCCCAAGCTTGAGGGCACTTCCTTTGGGGTGCCCGTCTCCCTGGTTTCACTCTTGGCTTCCTTTGTAGCCCAGGCTGCCTCACTCGGTCACGTGCGCGCTTTGTGGGGAGGTGGATCAGAATGAGGATTCGCAGGACTTTGAGAAGAAGCTCATGGAATGCTGCATCTGCAATGAGATAGTTCACCCTGGCTGCCTGCAGGTGAGGTGGGCCCTAGGGACATGGGTTTTGGGTCCACACTCATGTGGGAGGTGGGGGCAAATGGGTGAAGGGTGGTGCCTAACCACTTGGTATGTCCCGTCTGCAGATGGACGGGGAAGGGCTGCTGAATGATGAATTGCCCAATTGCTGGGAGTGTCCAAAGTGCTACCAGGGTGATGACTTGGAGAAGGGCCAGGTAAGAGGAGACCCACTCGCCTGGACAGCACCAGTGTGGGGAGAATGGGAGCACTTGGATTGCCCTCTAAACGCACACCCCACTCAGATCTTCTCAGATGGGGAGGTATGTGGGGAAGCGGGGAGCCCAGCTGGTTGTGGGGATGCTACTCACTCTGGACACTGAGTTGCAGGGAGAATTGAGGAGGCTCTGATGTCGCCATGCCATGGAGCCAGGCATGTGTGCGTGTATGTGCATGGCCACAGGGGGTCAACACCATCTGATGCTCTAGAGGGCAGTGAGTGCCACGTCAGGCAGGTGGGCACTGGTGGAGCTGTGGCACCTCGGTGTGGCCAGGTGGCTTGCAGGCACTGGTGAAAGTTGCGCGTTGCTAACTTCAGTGGAGCTGGTTCATAGCTCTTCCGTGTCCACCCCCCACGACGTTCACAGAGAGCCCGTCAACAAGCAAACTCCAACATCCTGCAGAAGAAACGACTCCTCAAAGGGCACTGGCGCCCAGACCCTGCCACCAAGCAGCGAGCAGACTATGTGCGGCGCCAGCTGGCCAAGTGGAGGCTGGCAGCGCTGCCTAGGCGGCAGAACTACAGTTACCAGCTCATACGTAGAACTGTGCCTGTTGCCCCAGAGAGCAGTGTCCCAGCAGAGGCGAGCAAGGTGGGGGACCCTCCTGCAGGGAGTGGGCCTGCAACTCGGGAGGAGATGAATGCGCCCAGCCTGGGTGCAGGGCTCAGCAGTGGGAAGGGGGCAGGTTTCCCATTGGCCTCAAGGACATAGCAAAGTCTTGTGGCTTAATCCTTCCACCACCACTCCCTTAGGCAAAGGACCTCAGTGGGTACTTAGCCATCCTGAAAGTCAGGCTGCTTGTTCAGGTGACCAGGTGCTGAGCTCTGATCACGTAACTCCTAAAAGCTGGTGCTGTTCCCAGCCAGCCTTCAAATCTCTGCTCCTCCCATCAGTGTGACTCCCAAGAGTTTGACTGAGTTCCCTGTGCAGGTGGGTTTGCAAATGGTGGAGGGGCCAATGGCCCCACCCTGGAAACCAGTTGTGGGTGAGGCCTGGTGAACTTGCCATGGCCTGGGTGCGAGGCTACTGTAAAGAAGATGCCCGCAGCCTGGATGGTTTGCTCGAGCCCCTCTGCCCTTTATGTTGTAACACCCTGCACTCCCTACCCTGGTTACTACAGGTCTGTGTTGGGAGAGCAGACTTGCCATATGGACAGTGCTGGGCAAACTCTCCTTAGCCCCTCCTCCACATACTGGGCACTGCTGGTGCGGACCCCGCTATTCAGTGCCCAGAGAAAGTGGTCTTGCCCAGGTGAGTGGGGCCCTGTATCAGCACAGTGGCGGTGTGTTTCCCCTGGGGTTTTGCCTGCTGTGCCATCGGGGGGTGCTGTCTGGGCCTGGCACTGTTGATAGGTGAGGTGTTAATTCCCCTCTCCTCTGGCTGCTTTGCAGAAACGGAAGATGGAGGAGAGCGATGAGGACACAGTGCAGGCCAAAGTCCTGCGACCCCTGCGGAGCTGCGAGGAGCCCCTGACACCCCCACCGCACTCGCCCACCTCCATGCTGCAGCTGATCCACGACCCGGCATCGCCGCGGGGTGTGGTGACGCGCTCGTCCCCAGGGGCTGGCCCCAGTGACCACCACAGCGCCAGCCGGGATGAGCGCTTCAAGCGGCGGCAGCTGCAGCGGCTCCAGGTCACGGAGCGCACCATGGTGCGGGAGAAGGAGAACAACCCCAGCGGCAAGAAGGAGCTGTCAGAGGTGGAGAAGGCCAAGCTGCATGGCTCCTACCTTACGGTCACGCTGCAGAGGCCCGCCAAAGACCTGCACGGCACCTCTATTGTGCCCAAGCTGCAGGCCATCACCGCCTCCTCCACTAATCTGCGGCACTCTCCCCGTGTGGTCGTGCGCCACTGCCCAGCCAGGACGCCCCAGCGGGCCGGGGAGGAGGAGGCAGATGAGGAGGAGGCAGCAGACGAGGAGGAGGAGGAGGAAAGCGCGGAGGAGGGCGGGGCGGCCCGGCTGAATGGCAGAGGCAGCCGAGTGCAGGACGGCGAGGAGAGCTGGATGCAGCGCGAGGTGTGGATGTCCGTCTTCCGCTACCTCAGCCGCAGAGAGCTCTGCGAGTGTATGCGGGTGTGCAAGACCTGGTACAAATGGTAAGTGGGGCATAGTGCCATCCCCGCCCTCATCAAAGGCAGTGGACCCCTGCCAGCTGGTCAGTACCAAATAGATGATCAGAGCTGGGAGGGTTGTTTCAGGGTCAATTGCAGCGCTGGTATGTATTGGGGCCCCTGGCAGAGGTGCCATGTCCCTCTGGCTCTTGGCTGAGGTATGTTGATGCTAGAAGCTTGTCGTGCTGCTATTTGTGCCGTACCTGCTCTTCCAGTCTCAAGAAATAACCTTCTCTGCATGGCTCTGTTGGGCTGTGATCAGTGGGTGTTCTTCTCCATCAGAGAGCATTTCCTGAGTTCCAATCCCCGCCTTCCATCCTTGCTAGTGCCCAAGGTGACTAATCCTGCACTCGCCTTACCTTTCCTGTGGTTGACACAATGTCCTGTGTCCACCAGCCCTCTCCTGGGGACTTTGCAGAGCTGTCTCCAGGCTGTACAAACTAACTCTCTATGGAGGGCACTGTACAAAGACACTGAGGACTGGGGACTGTCTCTGGGCTCTGCACTGTTGCAGTGATGTCTCCCATGGGCTCCTGAGTCTCTTACCCCCTCCAGTCCCCAGTCGTGATGGGCACGTGGTGATTACCTGTTCCACCCAGGGGCCTTTTTCTCTCACCTCACGCTACCTGGTGCTCTCATCAAGGCAATGGAATTACCTGTAGCTTGTGTGAGGAGAGCTGGCCCCTCAGGCAGAACATGCAGCCTCCTAGCTAGTGAAGTGGGAAGCAGGAACCCATCTTTCCCTAACCCCTCAGCCTTAGCAACTTCAGTGCCCGTGAAGGCACAAGCACACTAGCTCCTACAGGCCTGCAAGCTGTTAGCTGCTGGCCCAGCATAGTTTCTCTTCCAGGCGTTCCCTGGTCCTTATTGTAACCAGCAGTGCTGAGATAACCGACTGCCCTGTTGCTCGTTCCCGGAGCAGTCTAACCCCTGTTCTGGGGCATGAGCCGCATGACTGGCATCAGAAATGGCTCCTCCAGCACAAGCTGGAATGTGTCTAGAGACAGACCGGTGCTGAAGAGCCTGCAGTAGTCTGATTAGCACAGCGAGCCCCCCAGTCCTTTGGAGCATGTTATCACTGGAGCTCCTTCACTCCCTTGGCATCCAGCAGTCTGTATCGGGTGGGGTCGTGGGCTCTTCCTATCCAACCTGCGTGTCTTTGTGCATCAGGTGCTGCGACAAGAGATTGTGGACGAAGATTGATTTGAGCAGGTGCAAGTCCATCACTCCCCAGGCCCTGAGCGGCATCATCAAGAGGCAGCCGGTCAGCCTCGACCTTAGCTGGACCAATATCTCCAAAAAACAGCTCACCTGGCTTGTCAACAGGCTGCCAGGTCAGTGGGGCTTGTGCTTGGGAGGATGCGGGGGGGCTTGTCTCTTCAGCGTGTGGGTTGTAATGCTGAGGGCAAAGCAGAACTGCCCTTTGTCTGGTAGCCCCACCACCACTTTGAATATCCAGTCAGCCCATGGGTGCCATAACCCTGTGCCCCTTGTGGATGTCAGAGGTAACCTAGGATTGTTGCCATGTTCACGCATCTTCAGGGTATCTCATGGTCCCACCCATTCCCAGGAGTCCTTTTGGATCTTCCTGAGTCACATGAAGAAGCCGGCTCTAGCAGTAAGTTCCCTGTGTCCTCCAGTCTCCCCATCATTGAAGAGGAGACCTCTTCAGTGCTGGGTGGGGAGACCTCCCCACGCCTATCCTGCCAGGATGAGGTGGGAATTCAGGTTCTGTGTACATCTCGTCCTGGCCGTCTCTCTCCCACGGGTGGGCAAGAGGTGAAGTCATTAGAATGTGTTGGCGGGAGTGTGGACAACAGGATCCTTTGTTCTCAGATCAGAAAGGAAGCTACAGGGGTGTCTTGGAGTTCGGGGCTCTCTTGACTCACTGGTTCCCCCTCTTCCCGGCAGGCCTGAAAGACCTCATCTTAGCAGGCTGTTCCTGGTCTGCAGTCTGTGCGCTCAGTACCTCCAGCTGCCCCCTTCTCAGGACCCTCGATCTTCGGTGGGCAGTAGGAATCAAGGACCCTCAGATCCGGGACTTGCTCACACCTCCCACAGACAAACCTAGTATGTTGGTTCCTGGGTCATATGAGGGTGGGCGGTGTGGTTGTGCAAGGAAGGCCTGTGTTCAGGTTGGATGGGGTTGTGGTTACCAAGAAGAATCTCCAGGGGCCAGTGTTCAGGGAATGTGATGAGAGCTGTGGTTGCCATGGGATGGGGGTATTTCCTCAGGGATCCATGTTTCTGGGAGCGAGATGGGGGCTGTAGTCTCCAGGTAGTGTTGCAGGGTGGTTGGGCTGCACTGACTTAGAACAACAAGGAGTCCGGTGGCACCTTAAAGACTAACGGATTTATTTGGGCATAAGCTTTTGTGGGTAAAATCCTCACTTCTTCAGATGCATCCCCTGATACTTGACTTATTAGAAGTTCATCTCTTGGTGCAGGTGATAAAGTTGGAGGTGCTAGCATGTAGCAGGCGGGAATACAGCTGGGGGTGGCCATGACATGGTTGTTTCCCACACACCTCTGCAGGTCAAGACAATCGCAGCAAACTCCGCAACATGACAGATTTCCGGCTAGCTGGTCTGGACATCACCGATGCCACACTCCGGCTCATCATCCGCCATATGCCCCTGCTCTCACGACTCGACCTTAGTCACTGCAGCCACCTTACGGACCAGTCGGCCAATCTCCTAACGGCCGTGGGGTCTTCCACGCGCAACTCGCTCACTGAGATCAACATGGCAGGTGCCTGCAACCTCTGCACCCCTCCACTGGCACCTTGCGTGATGCCAGACAGAGCCATTGCTCCACCTTCATTTACCCTAGCTTTGGAGGGGTTCCATGCTGCTGGGGGACAGTGGCGGGGTGGGGGTTAGTTTCCATGTTGGCTCAGTCGTGGCCTTCAGCACAGTCCTGCTCCAGAGGGATGAGTGAACTGTGAGTCTTCGACAATACCTGGCAGCTAGGAATCTGCTCCCAAGGCCGAATGGTAGGCTCATGTGGCATTGTCTCCAGTGCCCCAGATGTTCCTCAGCATCTGCTGCAGGGTTATGCTCTGAAATCGGCACTCTTTCCTTTTAAACACATTAAGTCGATAGCCCTTATGGCCAGTAGGGCTGATCAGAACCCACAATTCCCATCCTGTGGGGAAACGCTCAGATGGATGAAAACCTTCATTCCACATGAGAGTGAGATCAAAACTGTTTCATAACTGAGACCCTCCGAGCCACCCAGACGCCAATCAGCCCTGCTTTCAGGCTCTCTGACATACAGCCAGGACCCCCAGCTTGAGCCAGGGCTGTGCTGGGCTCCAGTTCTGTGGCAGCTGACCTAGCAGGTGCAGGGAACCAGGTGAGATGGTTGGGAACCAGGCAGGCTTTCAGAGCACAACTGGAAGAGTGGATGAAGTGAACACATCCCAATGGAACATTTTGATTTTGTGAAATCAGCCTTTTCTGACAAACATTGTCTGACAATTTCCAGCCAGCTCTACATTCCAGACCCAAGGGTTCCCTTAGCTATCAGAACACACCGTCTCCCTCTTGACAAGTGCAGGGTGAATGGTAGAGACCCAGTCCATGGCAGGCGGAAAAGGTTAAAATCTAGGGGCTGCTTAGACTGAGGTTGACATCAGATTAAATTCCATAGAGAGTGTTGGCTGGGGTATTCATGGGGCTGAGGGGCAGAGGCAGATGTTAGCCGGAGGAAGTGGGGAGGGGGTGTGCTGTGCTGACTGGGATATTTAGGGGGATATTGCTCTGGCTGGGATGTTTTCATATTCAGTATAAAGCTCAATGTGTTTTTCCTCTCCTCTAATCTACCCCACGTTCCCAGCTGGTTGGCCCAGCTCCCTGCCAAACTTGTCCCAGCTTCCTGTGGGGTGTGCAGAGCCGTGTGTGGCATGTGGGTGGTACTGCGTGCTCTGCTGTAACCCCTTCCTCCTCTTCTGCTCAGGTTGCAATAAGCTGACGGACCAGTCCCTGCTGTATCTGCGGCGCATCTCCAACCTCACCCTGATCGACCTGCGAGGCTGCAAGCAGATTACCCGCAAGGCCTGCGAGCACTTCATCTCAGACCTGTCCATCAGTAGCCTCTACTGCTTGTCCGACGAGAAGCTGATCCAGAAAATCAGCTAGAGACCAACCCCAGGCAGACTGAGGAGAAGGAAAGATCCCATCCCACCCCCCTCGGAGAGGTGCTCCTCCTCCCCAGCCCTGTCCTGCTGTGAGGCCAGCATCCTGCACTCCTCCATCCCCAACCTCCACAGGCAGGGCAGTAGCCAGCCCCACTCCACTGGGTCTCCTCCTCCTCCTCCTCTTCCTGGGATTTCAGCAGCGGAAGGGGTCCTGCCAGGCTGATCCATAGCTGAGGAGAAATGGGCCGTGGCCAGGGGAGCTCGTTCTGGAGCCTGGCTGCTCTTAGTCTGAGGTTGTGCAGAGGTGTCTTCACAGGGAAATGTGCCCCTCTTTTCTCCCCGCCTTGGCACCCCAAAACAGATTTCACTTCCTACTCAGCAAGGGGAGCGCCCTGGAAAAGGGATTGGAGCTGGATGGTATGAAGCAAGCGTGCCTGGGCTCTCCTGTACCACTGCTACTGATGTGGCTGTTGGCCCTGTGGCTTGTCATACTTGGCATTCATGCCACATCTCTGCCCCCTGAGCTTTTCCTCCTCTTAGCCTTGCCTCACCAAAGTGACGAGGGTTTGCCTCCTGCAGCTTGTATGTAGAGGGCGAGAGCCCTATGGCAGTGGGTTCTCAAGGCTAGGTGTCTCCCTTGGTTAGCCAAGCTTCCACTCCAGAGCAGCACTAGATTGCTCACAGCACCATATATCCACACCCCCATGAGGATGAGGGTGTCCAGCCCTTCTGGAAGGGCTGGGGGTGGGTGTCTGCAGGGGGCCAGGTCCATCAGAGCTCAGGGTGGACTCAGAAGGCATCCAGAGGGGTTTCTAGATCCTGCACAGGGTGGGATACATGCTCTCCCCACCCCTTTGGGCAGGCTAGTATAATTGAGCACTCTTGGGATGCTGCGGCCAGAGGAGAGGATGCTTCTCCATCTTGTCACCCAGTGTGTAGCTGTCAGCTCTCGAACTGGGAGATGTGGAAGGGGATGTGAAAGTCCCCATCCCCCTACCCCTTTAGCTGCCACTTTTCCTTTGCAATGAATGGTCGGTCCAAAGAACCCTCTCTCTTGGGCAGCAGAGAGCTTTTTGCACTTTAAAAAGAAAGGTTGGAATCTTATTTTGGGTCATTATTTCCCCCCCTCCCCTCCCCCAGTGACTGGACGCTCCCTTGACTGTCTGAGCTTGTTGATGTTTAATGCACAGTTTGCACTCTGCTCTCTTTCCCCCTCCTCCTACTGCCCCCCAAATTCCCTCCTTCTAAGCATACTGATAGCACAAAACCAGCCTGCCACGTGTTCCCCCAGCCCCTTTCCAGCCTTACGGGGGAGAAAGGAACTCTCTAAGCAGCAGGGAAAAGGGGGAGGGACGAGCGGTTGTGAAACCTCAAAGGAGAATCGACCAGATGCACCCTCACTGCTTCAAAAGCAATAAGGGAGGCAGAAGCAGCTGTCACCCCTCCAGCTCTCCCCATTGCCTGCTGGCTCCGAATTCTCTGGCACCAATGACTTCTGCTGCTGCAGTGTTGGCTGGGGGTGGGGGATGTCTTTGTTTAGATCCACTGAACCCCCAGTGGGGGGGGCTCAGGTCCTGTGCTTCCCCTCCCCCCCTCTGGCCTCCATATTGTGAGCCTGCTTGCTTGCTGACTGGAACGTGCAAGTGTGATGAATTCCACAGTGCCTCGGTACATGGGAGTTTTGCTACAATGGATTGTTAGAGTTTTGAAAGGGGGGGGGAAGCCCACTTTGTTATCACTGACCTAGGAGTGGAAGCTTTCTGCCATTTTGTTTTTGGTTACTCCTGTGGAAAACAGAAGAATCAAACTACTTATTTTTGTTTGTTTTAAAGGAAGGCAGGGGAAGCTATAAACAGGATATATAAGTGCATCCGACCTGGGGGACACTCCAGCCCCGAGGATTTCTGGGCTGGCTTTTCAGTTTGAAAAACAAAAGCATCTTAGCTACTGTCACATATGCATTCAGCGCTGAGCAACAGTGGATCAACGTGCCAGGGGTGTCCATGGTAGGCAGGAGGAGGAGTCGAGCTGATTGATGGGTGAAGGAAGTGGTCAGTCTTTAAGTTCACTGTCCCACAGCCTTCTCAGACGCAGCCTTCCACTGAGTCTGTGGCTTCAGAGACTTAAAAAATTAAAATAAAGATGTGATACTCGTTCCTGTATCTGGCCACCACCTTGGAGGGCAAGGGATGAAAATCCACAAAGGAAAGAAGAAATAAATATATATATATATGAAATCACTTAGTGATTTAAAAAAAACAATCCTGCTCCCTAAATAAAACTCCCTGAAGAAAGTCACTATTGGTTTAAAGGGTTTTGGTTGTGTTTTTGTGTTTTGTTTTCCCCCAGAGAAATATTGTAAATATATATTTTTGTTGGCGATTTAGAGCCCATCTCCAACATTTGTGCTTTAAAATTAAATGTAAGCATTAAGGGTAAAAGAAAACAAGTCTTATGCTGTTTGGGTTGGGGGTTATTTGGGGGCAAAGGGACGGGGAGCTAGTTGGAATTTTTTTGTTTTTATTTTCTCTTCTAAGCATTCTCCAGTACTGGTTTTAGAGAGAATCTTTGCTCATAACCTATTACCACATGAACAGGAGAGACATTTGTGGGGGAGGGAGGGGAAGATACCAGCCTCTGAAGGGAAATATTTTGTTTCTTGGGGGTGGATTTTTGGAATAAAAATTTAAAGAAAACACTGTCGGGTCTGCACGTTGTTTGTGTGGGAGTTGGACATCCCGAGAGGGGGAGGTGAACTCAAGTCGATGTACGACTCAGATTCCTAGTTTCACTGCCGTCATCTTGCCACCCTGCCACCCTTCAGGTGACCAGAAGAGTATAACAGTCCTACCAGGCGATTTATTGTGCATATTTAGCTCTTCCTATTTCAGTTAATGGTGGTTTCCTTGTGAGACCCCTGCTTGTTCTCTGATTAGACAGTCTTCAGACCAATATTTCTGTTGGAAAAAATGATGGTCTAGAGATCCTGTCACTCTTCAGGCCCTTGTAAAAGATGAAACACCCGTTATGCATGTTCTGTTGGATGTCATCTTTTGACTGATGTAGGCACCTCTAATGCCATAAGTCCATTGGGAGGCTCAGTACACTGGGTCCTTTCACAGGCTCCTTCGTAGCTTTGGGTTTTACTGAAGAAAAGCCTTTCTGAAACTTGATGGGGTTTTTAGCAGAGAAGCAAAAGCTTTTCAGACCAGCTGCAGTCACTATATATAAACAGCCATTGAAGCAGGGAAGTGCTTTGAGAGGCTCAGGTAGAAGGAACGAGAGAACCAAATGCTAATGCGATCTGATTTAAAACCTCCATCACCTCCCAGGAGTCTGGGTTCACAAGCTGAAAGATCTCACTGCCGGTATGTGTCTTCACAGCAGGATGTGTCCCTGGCCTTTCCTTCTATATCTCCTTGTTATGCCTGCTTTGACCAACTCAATTTCTCTCCACTTCGCTTGCACCCTTCATGCTCTTTGTGCACATTGGGTTCCCTAGGTGTTTGTAATTTAGGGCTTCCATCCTGTTCTCTGCCTGTGGCCCACAATAGTGTAGTTTTCTGAAGGCTGTAATACTTTAGTCTAATTCTGGTTGTTGGGCTGGGTGATATTTATTTAGCCTGTGTTGTACAGGAGGTCAAACTATATGATACGGGTGGTGCATTCTGGTCTTTGTAGCTCTGCATGCAGAAGTTATTCTGGAATCGGGTAGGGTGCCTCTGTGTATCCTGCACTGATCTCTGCTACCATGCAATATTGCAAACTCCATTTAAGTTCTCTGCTTCCACCCCGAGCATCGTTCAGAGGTATCGGGGTAGCCGTGTTAGTCTGTATCTACAAAAACAACAAGGAGTCTGGTGGCACCTTAAAGACTAACAGATTTATTTGGGCATAAGCTTTCGTGAGTAAAAACCTCACTTCTTATTAGCTGATAATGTCCTGCTCAACTCTTTGCCTTTCCTAGGTGTATTGCACCAACTTGGCATCATCTGCCTGTTGAATTTTTAATAGTGAGTATAATTAACCATTAACAACATACCAAGGGCTGTGGTGGATTCTCCATGACTGGTCATTTTTAAATCAAGATTGGAGGTTTTTCTCTGCTCTAGTTCAAATAGGAATTATTTTGGGGCAGTTCTCTGGGCTCTGTTATACAGGAGGCGTCGGCAACCGTTCAGAAGTGGTGTGCTGAGTCTTAATTTATTCACTCGAATTTAAGGTTTTGCGTGCCAGTAATACATTTTAACGTTTTTACAAGGTCTCTTTCTATAACTCTATAATATATAACTAAACTATTGTTGTATGTAAAGTAAATAAGGTTTTTAAAATGTTTAAGAAGCTTCATTTAAAATTAAAATGCAGAGCCCCCCGGACCGGTGGCCAGGACCTGGGCAGTGTGCGTGCTACTGAAAATCAGCTTGCGTGCCGCCTTCGGCACGCGTGCCATAGATTGCCTACCCCTGGACTAGATGATAACAATGGTCCCTTCTGCCCTTAAGATCTGTGACTGGACTTAAACCAGGCCTAACTGTGTGGCCATGCAATCATGCTAATACCCAAGTATTTTGAATGACTTTCAAATAATGACCTTGGAACAAAAAGTTGGAGTATGCTGATGAGACACAGTTGGGAGGCATTGTCAATACAAGAAGACTGGAATATTATGCAGGAAGAAGTGGATGACCTTGAGGACTGGAGTAATAGAAATGGGATGAAATGTAATAGTACAAAGTTCAAGGTCATGCACTTGGGCACTAATAAAATTGCTATAAGCTCAGGACTTCTCAGTTAGAAATGGCTGAAGGAGAAAGGCCTAGGTGTTTACTTGATTGCAGGCCAACTGTATGATGTGGCTGTCAAAAAGGAAAATTTGATTGTAGGATGAATCAGGGGAGGTATTTCCAGTAGAGAGAAGGAAGTATTAATACCACTTTAGGAGGCAGGGGTAAGACCGCTCTGGAATACTGCACCCAGATGTGGTCATCCAGATTCAAGACCAATGAATTCAAACTGGACCAGGCGCAGAGAAGGGCTGCTAGCATGATTAGGGGTGTGGCTTACAAGAGGAGACTGAAGAGCTTGGCTATTTTGCCTGACAAAACAAAGGCAGGGGGAGGGGGATCTGATTGCTCTCTCTGAATACATCGGGGTTGTAAACACACAAGTGAGGGAGAAGAGCTGTTGAAGCTAATGGCACAAAAACAAATAGGGATAAACTGGCCATGAACAAAGTTGGGCTGGAAATTAGTAGCTTTGTAACCATCAGAGCAGTGAGATTCTGGGATGGCCTCCCAGTAGCGGGGGTTGGGAAGAGGGGAACAACTTGACTCATTTTTAAAATGGAGCTTGATCGGTTTATGAATTATATGGATTATATGACAGGGCTGCCTGTGATTGCATGGAACCAGAATTGATGACCTGGGATGGCCCTTCCACTCCTATGTCCTACGCTTAACTGAAACCCAACCTTTCCCATCTGCTCCTTTCATCCAGTCACTGGGGTTTGGATAGAAAAAGCAAACAAGTAACTGACTCAACGTCTGACTGCTGCTGCTTGGTTCCGTGAGCTCTTCACAGATTTATTTCCTTCCTCTTAACATCTATTTCATTCTAGCTTTCTGGCTAAGATCATGTCTGAACTTTCCTTCCAACCCTTTGTCTCCCCATGCTCCTGACATCCTGAAAAACAAGCTTTTTTTGCATTGAAATCTTTCTTGCCCGGGCTTAACCAGAGCTAACTTGAAAGCTAGCTTGAAATCTCACGGCTCATTGCACCCATCTGTATGTTAAGACTGACTTGTCTAACAGCACAGTGGACCAAAACATGTTAGTGATGGCTACAGGCCTAGACTCCCTCTTAAGGTGGACGGTGGAAACAATGAGGGATTGAAAAATGAGAATTCACCAACCCATCCCATTCACTTTAGGATCATTTATTGGGGTGGCACTTACAAGCCCCAGTTATGGACCAGGACCCAGGGCGCTAAGTGCTGTACTAACAGAACAAAAAGATGGTCCTTGCCCCAGTGTCTACAGTCTAAATCATCACTTGTACCAATGTACAGGGGGTGATTTTAGTCATCTCTTTCCCCCCCCCATATCTGTTTTAATGTCATAGTTCTGGATAGTGAATATCTAGCTGTATGTGCTTTTCCAGACATAGCTTTTGCCTCAGGGAGCCCTTGGCCAGAAGCCTCTTCTCTTCAGAAGCAGCCAGTTCCCTGTTCTGAAAGCCAAATCAAGCGCAGACGGGTTGTATGACAGTAGTGCCTGGAGGGGCCCTGTTGCATGATGCACTGCAGATACACACTGCGACAGTCCCTCCCCAAAGAGCTCAGTTGGAATAGGCAAAGCCAAGAGAGGAGAAAGCAGGCCCAGCGATGGCAAGTGACAAAGGAATGCTTTCTAAAGTCAATGGGATTTAGAGTATGAGGTGTCTAAATCACCTTGGAAAAGGAGATGGGATCCTCAGTCACTTGCTACTTCTGAAAACATTGCCTTTGCTCAGTGTCATCCACTAGGGCAGTATGCAGTGCCAATCCACAGGGTCATCTGCTCTCTCAGTAACTTGAACTCGGCGTCTTGTTCCTTATTCTTTTGCAGGGCAAGTTGTCGTCTGCCACGATCATGGTGACTCTTCATATTCCCCTGCCACCTGGTGTGGGCTCCAGATCACCCCCACTTAAAATCAAGTGTGCTAAATGCAAACTCTCGTTGACTATCCGACTGCTGATTGCAACCTGGGAACAGAAGCTGGGGAGTGAAAGACCTATTGGGAATTCCATGAAGCTATCTGAATGACAAAAATGGAGCTGTCCTTCCTGGCCCTGTGCAAACCAGTGGGGAAATAGGATTCTCAGCCTGGCAGGAGTATAGAGACATCTTGCTAGAAACACAGATAGGAAGATGTGCATCAATTTGAAGAGAGGAGACAGCTGTAAACAACTCAGTGGGCACTAGCCACCTCTCCACTGAAAGTGGATCCACTTCATGAAACTGCCATCGCTCAGACTTTTTCCTGCAGAGACATTTGCTCTATCAATGGGGGTAGCCCTTTTTCCACCCCATAGGCAAGGTATAGGTATAAGGAAATTGATCAGAGTGAAATTGACAGGGTTCCTGCATGGGAGCTGCTCTTTCCAAAAATGGCCAGGTGAGGGCAGTTTAACCCTGGCAATGAGAAAAGGGGCTGGGTGCATAGATCCCTTTTGAGAACTGTCGCAACTCCACTCACTGATGAATGGGGGAACTTCTTCCACCTAGCTAACAGCAGATGAGGCATTAAACCCAGGGGTTGCCAGACAGGAACAGGCCATCCCTGCTGGGCTTCCGGCTTCTGCTACTGTCATGATTGCACACGGTGCAGCGCAATTTCAGGCCATTGGAGACTAACCTATGGGGTTGCCAGTTTCCTCTTGGATGCCCTCTCCCCACCCCTCTGCTTTTCCCTGCTCAAAGTGACTGTCTCAAAAACCCAGGCCATGTTCCTCCTCCCTGCTCCCTGCCATGTCTTGCTGCCCGCACCCTTTCATGTGGCCTATGCCCTGCAGGAGCTGCTCCCCTGGTATCCTTCACTCGTGCAACCTCCTCAGCTTCACATTCTGCCAGGCTCTAGCCCTGGTTTCTCCTTTTGATCCCTCCCCCTGCAGAGCGGGGAAGGGCGGGGAGGGAGAGTTTTTCCTTTCACTTTCTCTGCCCTGCAAAGTCAAGGCTTCCTTTAATTTCTCCTCCACCTTCCCTAGTTTGCCCCACAACCCAGTTCCTGACATGTTCCTTTCCCCTACCCCCATTCCTGGGGTCTCTGTCTGCAACAGGATTCTCCTATCACCTACCTTCTGGCTGAGATTTCCCCAAGTGACTCTTCTGGGTGGCCTTTTAAAGAAGCCTGGATACAGACTAACACGGCTGCTACTCTGAAACCTGATTTGTGGATGTTCAGCTTGGAGGCTTGAAATTAATTCCAGTCCCTATAAAGTGTGTCAAGTAGGTCACCCCAAGCCACCTTCCAACCTTTGGCTATCAACCCAACTCTAGCAATGGGGTCTTGGCAGGCCCAGCAGGAGGTGTCACGACCTGCCATTCTATCCACAGCACACTGCTCTTTCCTTTGCTCCTTGCTTTGCCTTTAATGGAGCTGAGCCATTTAAGCTCAGATCTTCGTAGGAATTTAGGCTGCTAACTTCCGCTGCAATGAATAGGAGTTAAGTGCCTAAATACCTTTAAGAAGCTGGGACCTGGAGACCTCACCAACTTCTGGAGACTCTTTGAAACGTGCACTGACCTCGGAACAAAGAGCAAAGGACTCCAAAGGCCGATGAGGTCATTCAATGTGCTGCCCAGCTGTTCCCTTCCACTCAGGAGTTGTGCCTCAAAAAGTGGCGCAGGTGAGATGGCCATATCAGACAGACGATTATGAAGAGCGAAAGCCCCATCCTAGAAGTGACCTAAAGAACCAAAATGGCCAAAATCTCTGGATGCCAGAAAGCAACATGTCTGGTACAGAGGGTTCCCAGAGGGACTGGGCAGCCCAAATTCCCAGATGACCGAGCAATGCTGCAGACTAAAAAGCAACCTGGAGACAACTGCAACAACGATGATGATGGTGAAATTGCGCTGGAGTCAAACCCGAATTATTGGAGTCATTACAGGAGTAACTGGGTGACACTGTCTGACCTGTGCTCTGCAGGGTGTCACACTGAAAGATCTAATGGTCCCTTCTGGCCTTGGAATCTGAGACTAGGCGAGGAAATGTTCAAAGGGTTACAGGATTCCTTGAGGGCACTGAGTCCTCTGGGTAGAGGTAATCTGGACTTGGTGGAAGCCTTAAAACTGAACAGGCTCTTAGCACCTTGGGAATCCCTCTCCCCTGAGAGTTAGAACTTGGCTTCAGGAGAAAATTGCAGATTTTTAACATACGGTGTCAATTTAAACCAGGGCTAATCCCTGCCAGGAGAGGCTTTCCCTTTGGCTTAACCAGGCTCCAATCAGTTTAAGTCAATAAGGAACCAGTTTAAACTAATCTCCAATAAGCCACTCTTAAAAAAGAACTGCTTTCCCCTAAAAGCTCCTGGTGACATCCGGCATGCCCTGAGCATGGGCCTTCCTTCCGCTCCAGTGGCAGGCATAGCCCCTCTAGCTAGGCTCATGCCCAGTTTGTGTCTGGTTAGATACATTGCCTGTCCTTCTCAATGGAAACATTCTCACGTAGAGTTTTGTTTCCTCGGCGCTGGATAAAATGCTACTAGTGGCGGCGGGGTTAGCGAAAATAATCCCAAATTGATAAGCCACGTCGTCACACGTATTTGTGTTTATCATTCTGATCTACACCCTGCAAAGGCCCAGGCACCTGCCACTGGGTCTTTGTGGGAATCTTTACTTTTCCTTTCCAAACGACACAGTTCCTCCAGTCTGCCAAGAGTTGAAGCATAAAAATGAGGTGTGTGGTGGAGGGGGGGAGTAGGGTTGGTGCAGCACCTAGCATAGTGGGCTCCTGCTCCATTGCTGGGTCTCCTAGGTGCTACCACAATGTAGATAACATGCTTAACTTTAAGCACGTGCTTAACTTTAAGGACATTGGAACCCCATTGCTTTAAATGCCTTGTTAGATTGGGGTCATAAGGGTTGAGGTGGGTTAGTTCAGGGGAAAATCGCCCACTGTTGCTTCTAAGGAAAGCCAGAGACCTCTGGCTGTGCTGGGCATACAACAAACATAGTTGCCCTTAGATGGAGGGTTGGAGTCCAGCTGTTAGGCTTTGAGCTCCTGCCCCAGGTCATCAGCCTGGTCCATGCATCATCCTAGTAAATGCTCGGCACCCATCAGACTCTTGAGGGTGCAACCTTATTGCCTTTCAGGGAATTGCACCATCTCTAAAACAGATCTTCTGCCCAGGCGTGTTATCCACCACCCCGAGGGCTGTGAACGAGTGCACGTTTGCCCACCAAGCTCTGGATCTTGCAGCAGACACATGACCCAGAGATGTGGTGTCTGGCATTATGCTGCACCGCTCGAAGGTGCCTACTGTACCCAGGGTGTGGGCCAGTTGGCCCATCTCCCTTCGGTGAAGGTTTGCATGGGGGCAGAGCTGATGATGTTCTGAAGAAGGTAGAAGAGGGTAGGGCCTGGGGAATTGGCCTCATTGAAGTCCAAGGCAAAACTTCCAGTGATTTTAGTAACAGTTACCCAGGTCCACTGCCTGCTCTCCAGCCAGAGGAGAAGGAACCCATCCTGGCAATCTTCTTGGTTCCATAAACAAAACCCTCATTCTGGCTCCTTTGCACCTTGAGCCAGCCCCCTCTAGCCTTGTTTGCTGCACCAACTGTAGAGGAGACAGAGGGCAGGGGGAGATACTCTGGCCTCCTGGTTCTCCTGCTGGCCCATCCTTGGATCTGATGGGTTGTCCAGGAGCCCTGTCCCACTCTGCAATCCCTGTCCTTCCTCTCCCTTCTGGAAGCTCTCTGGTCTGTTTCCTTGACATGTGGGACCTCCACAGACCATCGAGTTCAGTCTGGAGACCTGTCCCATGCCCCCTCGCCTGCCCCTTCTTGGGGAACCCTCCCCTCACCCTGCTCAGAACAGACCTGGTTTCCTCATTCAGGGTGAGTGCTGAAGAGGAGATGCCAGCAGCATGGAGGGGAAAGCTGCTCCTGAGAGAGATGCCTTTCCCTCAGCAGGTGCCATTTGCACCTCCCCAGATTTTCAAGGCAGGCCAGACACCATCTCGCAGGTATCCTGCCCCCAGAGCAGTAACTTCCGGTGGAGCCAGAGCCTGTCCTTGAGCAAACCCCCAAACTTGCAAAGTTCCACATTCTGATTCTGGATTCCTCACCCTAAAAGACACAGATTTTTGCTTGCACTCACTCACTCACTCACTCACTCACCCACCCAAAGCACCCTTCTTTCCATCCACCAGTGATCCTAGCCCACAGCGGTGTCGCTGCAGCACCATGTGTCTTCCACAGGAGCCTAGTAGCGGTGACAGCATCGTACCGCTGCCAGGAAACGCATGGGTGCCATACATAGATAAACTTGTTCAGCACCATCCTCCAGAAATGGGCTCCATCTGCACCAGCTCCCTCATCTGCCATTGCAAACCCTGAGGCTTGTATGGGGGAGGTGAGTCTGTGTATGCAAAGGGCCAAGGAGGAGCATGGTCTTCAGGAGGGTCCTTGTCTGGTAGCATTGGGAGATCAGCAGGGGGTGGAGGGGAATGACTCTGCTGCCCCCACCTGCCGAAATGCCTTAGATTCAGCCTTGAAGGGACATTAGCCAATGCACTGGCATCACTTAGCAGCCTGACTTTGACCAGGACTTAAGCTTGGGTCACTTAAGCCAAGATCCTCAAAGGTATTTAGGCACCTAACTCACATTGATGGGAAATCAGCCAGAGATGAGCACCTAACATCTTTTGAGGCTCTGGGCTTTGTGCTTTGTCCAGTGCTCCCCAGAGCCCTGTTCTGCTTTCACCCCAATGTCAGGACCTTCCTGGGGTTCCTGCTGTCTCCGGACCTCCAGCATTCAGCAGAAAGAACCAAGGTGGTTGGGGAACCTCTTAACACCTCAGCTCTGATGGCTTGGGGGTAGGGGGGCCTTCAAAAAGTATCTGACGCTCACTGGGGCTGCAATCTCACACGTGTCTCTGTGCAGAAAGGCCACTGTCTGAAAGAAGAAATGCAGCACAATTGGTGGCAAAGGACCTCTTTCCCTGAAACACCTGGGGGCCTGAACTCTGAAATTGGTCAGCATCCTCCCTTCTTACTGTCCTGATCTAGGGAATCCCATTCCACCTTTAAAGGGAGACTTTTATTGAAACAGGTAATGACACAAACAGGCTTTCCCCCCCAGCTCACATTCCAGCTTTGTCTCTCTTGTTTATCAGACACCACGCTGGTCCTGGGTTTCTCCACAGCACCTGGAGACCTCTAGTGGCTAGATCATATACTGTAAGTAACTATAGTACACCTAATATTTGGGAACTGCTTCTTTAGCATGCAGCCACAGATTTTTCTGCTGCTTGGCACAGCACAGAGAATTGCATCTGTACTCTGTGGGGAACTGGACCCATGCGCTGAGACCCGAGTCTGGCAGTCTCCTGTGCAGAAGTCTGGGGATTTCCCCAGAAACTGCATGGAGGTTTGAAAAAGTGGATGCTTTAATAGAATTAAATGAAAGTGACCCATGCCTTCAGCCCCGTGTCCTACTTTTCCCACATTACCCACCCCATCCGTGCTGTTGGCCTGTGTTTCATTTGATCTTGGATCTAGGTGATTTGATGCTGGCCCTGAACTTCCAGTGTGCTGTCCATGCATCACTGCACCACCGAGGTGACTGGGATGACGGTTGGACTTGATAGTGTCCCGAAGTCCCTCTCCACCCAATGTGGCTAAGATTCTCCGGCCCATGCTGTGCAGGAGGGCAGGCTGGAGAGAACAATGGTCTCTACTGGCCTGGTAGAGGCTGCTCTAGCTACAAGCAGACTGGGGGTAGCAAGGGACAAGGCTGGGAGGGGGCAGTCGCCAGCTGGGACTCCGAGGAAGTGGCCCCCAGCCAGGCTGCTGGGAAGCATTTTCCACCCCGCACGACCACCACCATTAGCAGGGGTAGGATCATGGCCGGGGCTGTGCCTGGTGCTACCGTAACTGCTGCCTGAGCTTTGGCCACAAGCACAGTGGCCCATCTGTCCCCATGTAGGCACCCGGCCTGCCACTCCACTGCACACCTTGCTGGCCGGGCAGTTCCCTGCCCTGGCCACCACTACATCAATTACACCATGTGGCCAAGGAGCCTGGCAGCAAGAGCTCATCCATGGGCAGGGTTTTCTGGGGGCCAGGCAGGAGGTGTGGGCTCAGGGTGTGAGTGGGGGGGAGCCAGGTGTGAGCTGAAAGTGTAAAGCATGCGGGGGGTGGGTGGGAGAGGGCAGGCTGGGATGAACTGGGAGTGCAACATGTGGGAGACCGGGTGCAGGGATGGGCTGGGTGGGTAGGGGCTAAAGGTGTGGGGTGGTTAGACTAGGGCTATGGAGTTGGGGGCTCAGGAAGGGGGCTTGGGCATTCACAGTGCAGGGGGATGGGATGGTGGTGTCGAGGGCTGAGTTGGAGTTGCATGGGGCTGGGCTGGGAGGTGCACCAATCCCCTCTTGGTCACCAGTCTGACTCCAGCTCAGCCCACGGGTGATCAGGAGTAGTTGCCCAACACACCCAAGCTTCCATCGCCAGCAGCAACTTGCCAAAGCCAAGAAGGAACCCTCTGTTTTTGCCAGGAGAGTGCATGGCACCTGTACAAGTGGAGACACAGAGTCAGAGCTGGTTAAAAAATGTGGGTGTCACAGGCAGCTGGATTCCACTGGGTAGCTGTATCAACTACTCCCACCAGTCAGGAGCTGGTCCTGACTTTTACAAGGGCTGAGCCATGTGACACTCCAGGAGAGACAGAAAACCCCATGGAAGAGGAAACTGAGGGAGGCAGCCCCACACTTGGCCGGCAAAACCTGTTTTGGGTTTTGATTTTTATTTTTTTACTTTGGATAATTTTGACAAACTAAAAAATAAAAATCAATTAGGAAATACTGCCCCTGGGCCTTGTGGGAGTTATAGTTTGAGTGCCTTGTGCTCCCATTTTTCGCTGAGCTAGACTGCCTGGTTGGACTACATCTCCCATGATGCACCACAGTCCTGTCTGATTGGAGAGGGGAGGCAGTGCATCATGGGAGTCCTTAGCCATGGTGCATCCTGGGAGATGTTTGCCCAGGGATCCCAGCCCATAGAGGAAAATGAGGACATGAGAAAACTGAACTACACCTCCCATGAGGCATCACAGTGGCCTTTCAAAATCAAAATATTTCCTTTTTCAGGCTCTGGGCTTTTGGATGAAAATGCTGCTTTCCACAGAAAATTTAGATGACACATTTCACTAAAAGCTTCATTTACTTAAAAATTCAATTTGCCACTGAAAAACATTTTTCATGGAAAACTTTCAACCAGCTCCAGTGAGATCCTCCCATTTGACACAAACCTCTATGCTCGGCAGCGTGAGATTTTTGTTCAAGCTGCAAAATGGAGGATGACACAGCATTGCTAATTCTTGCAATATCTGGTGTTTTCCCTACAACCCCAGCTCCGGGACTCATGGGATTTACCTGACCATCCCAGCTTTGTTCAAATGAAAGTTTCTGGAGTGGGGTGGAAACTCCCTGTGACTGAGGGTGCTGAGGGGTAGCAGGGAGAATGAGGGGGGCTACAGAGACTGAAGCGTGGGTCAGTGGAGGGGCAGCTGGCTCCAGGCTGGGAAGGGGCATCCAGTAGTTCCTGCTGCAGTTCCCATGGTAATTCTTCAGCGGCTGGCGCCCAATGGGTCAATGCCCCCTGTCCCCCACTCAGTTGCTAAAGCCTTGTCCTGTCCTGCACCTTGGCAACTGGTGCACGTTTCTTCTTCAAGTGATTGCTCATGTGTATTCCACAGTAGGTGTGCGTGCTCGCCACGTGCACCGGTGCCGGAAGTTTTTCCCTTAGCAGTTCCCGTAATGGGGGAGCACCGCTGCGACCCCTGGAGTGGTGCCTCTATATCGTGCCATAAAGGGGGCTGCGTGCTCCCCCCACCCTCAGTTCCTTCTTGCCGCCAGTGAAGGTAGTCGGAACTTTTGCTCCAGCATTGCTGCAGCGTCTTCCTTAGTAGTAAGATCTTTGACCGTTAATAGTTTCTACAGTTAGTAGCCTGGCTCGGGGCATGCCCCGAGCCCCAGGCTTCAAGTCGTGCGACTCCTGTCACAATTCCATGCTCAGAAGCGATCCACACTCCGAGTGTCTTCGCTGTCTGGGCGAGGCTCACATAAGTGAGCGCTGGAAAATCTGTAAATCCTTCAAGTCCCGGACTAAGCGCGAATGTGAGATCTGACTCCGGGCCCTGCTTATGGAGTCGGGACTGGCCCCGGCACTGGCGCGCCGAACCGACCCGGTGCCGGGCACCGCGTTTTCGGTGCGGAGTGACGCCCCATCCACCAGTCAGCACTGCTCCCCTGTTAAGAAGCAAGGCAAGACCCAGCAGCGCCGAGATAAGGACAGGGGTGAGGCCGGACCCAAGTTGGGCAGCCCACGATCCCCCTTGGGATCCAGACCTCCGACTCGTGTAGAGCAGAGTAGTCCGGCCCCGTCAGCGCGTGCCTCCCCAACGATGCGGATTCCATCTACGCCTGAGTCATCGACGTCCTGCTGGTACCAAGCAGGCCGCCCGAGTCGGGCCCCCGGTCCCGTGGGAAGCCACCGCTGGGCGCCCACCAGCCATCACTGGCCAGGTCGGAGTTAGAGGTCTCTGCTCGATCTGCAGGCCTTCCTGAAGCCCGCGACAGATCTCCACTCGTTTGTCGGGGTCGCCTGGGAGCAAGTCGCCGGAGTCCTCCTCGGCCCACAGGAGTTGCAGATGCCGAGACAGGAAGTGTCGACGCTCCTCGTCCAGCCGAAGTGATAGCAGATCTCGATGCCATCAGCACCACCGACCATACCAAGGCACGTGCCTTGCTCGGGGTGTATCCAGACAGTCACCAGCACCGAGGCATCGTAGCCGCGGCCATCGACGGGACACCAGAGGTAGCACCTCCGACGTATACGTTTCATTGTCGTCAAGGTCTAAATCCCGGGGCCAGACCTGACGTGGACGGGACTGGTCGAGCCGTTCCTACGGCACCGTGTGCTCCTCGGCCACCTCTGCCTCGGTGCCCAGCCGTCCTTCCCCGGGCTGCACCGTCCTCCAGGAACGTGTAACCCTGGTAGGACCCCAGACGACTCAGTGGCAAGGGGCGCCATGGCAAAGACAGTGGTGCCAGTGGGCACCGTGGCCCCAGGCGCCTGCATCGCCGGGGCCCCGCTCCATGGCCGGGGCATCCCAAGCCCACTCGGCATCCCCGCCTTGGCACCAGGACCAATCCTTGGGGGCTGCACCACCGGTACCGCACCTGAACCAGGACACGGAGTGCGACATTCCGGCACCGACCGATGCCCTAGGGGCCGTCCCGGTCGCCCTGTCGGCACCGGATGAGTCCATAGCAGCACCACCCCCTCCTTCTCAGGAGGACTTCAAGGTGCACCAGGAGCTCCTCCAGCAGGTAGCCACCAACCTCCAGCTCCAGGCGGAGGAGATGGAGGAGCCGTCGGACAATTTGTTTAATGTCCTCTCCTCCTCAGCACAGGGCCGTGTGGCGTTACCGCTTCACCAAGGGGTAGCCAACATTTCCATTGGCCTATGGCAAACCCCGTCCTCTCTACCGCCCATTTCCAAAAAGGCAGAACAGAAATATTTTGTGCCAACAAAGGGGCATGAGTACCTTTACACTCATCCTACCCCGAACTCATTGGTAGTGGAGTCCATCAACCACCGTGAATGACATGGCCAGCCCGCACCAACTCCCAAGGACAAGGAGGCCAGGAGACTGGACACTTTTGGGAAAAAAGTTTATTCCTCTGCCAGTTTCCAGCTCAGGGTGACAAACCATCAAGCACTCCTGAGCAGGTATGACTTTAACTTGCCAAATTTCGAGCTCTCCCTCCAAGAGCAGGACAGGAAGGAGTTCATGGCTCTAGTTGATGAGGGTGCGGCGGCAGCGAAAGCAGCTCTCCAGGCCGCCTCGGATGCAGCTGACACGGCGGCTCATTCGATGGCCACGGCTATGTCCATGAGACGAGCATTGTGGCTTTCCCTGTTGGGGCTGTCAGTTGAATCCCAGTCCTTAATGCAAGACTTGCCATTTGACGGCAAGGCGTTATATGCAGACCAGACAGACACTCGTCTGCACAGGATGAAGGACTCCCGCACCACCCTGCAGACACTCGGTCTGTATGTCCTGCTGGCCAAGGACAAGCCTAGACCGCAGCCTTTGGTTCTCCCTCTACGGGGCAGATACGAGCCCCTGCCCAAGAGGCCTAGGGACCAGAGGCGCAGATCACAGCGTCAATCCCACTTGGCCCCACGCCCTGGACTCTCGAAGGGCAAGAGGCGTTTCTGACTGTTTGCGGGGGGGCCACCCAACCTGTTGCCAGGGAACCCCCCCCCCGAGTTAATAAAGTTGTTTTTTGGCAACCGTTTATCTGCCTTCAGAGTACATTGGTCCCGTATAACGTCGGACCGGTGGGTCTTCAGTACCATCTCCGAGGGGTACAGGCTGCAGTTCGATGCAACCTCACTGCACCTCCTTCCGCCCCGGGAGACCCGGAGCACGCCCTTCTGTTAAGTCAGGAGGTGACTCGCCTCCTCACCCTAGGCGCGGTGGAGAGGGTACCTCAGGAATTCCAGGGCAAAGGGTTTTATTCCCGGTATTTCCTGATCCTGAAGGTGAAAGGTGGGCTCAGACCCATCCTCAACCTGCGGAATCTCAACTAGTTTCTGGTTCGCTGAAAATTCCGTATGGTGTCCCTGGCCTCTATTGTCCTGTCCCTGGACCCGGGAGATTGGTTCGCAGCCCTGGACCTCCATATCCACATTTTCGAGGGCTACAGGCGCTTCCTCCGCTTCCTGGTGGGGACAGACCACTACGAGTTTACGGTCCTCCCCTTTGGACTGTCCACGGCCCCCAGAGTTTTCACCAAGTGCATGGCGGTAGTGGCAGCCCACCTAAGGAGGAACGGGCTGCAAATCTTCCCCTACCTGGACAACTGGCTGCTCAAGGGCAAGTCTCAATCCCAGATGCAGACGCAGATGGAATTCCTGCTAGATACATACACGAGTCTAGGCCTAGTGGTAAATGAGGAAAAGTCTACGTTAGTTCCGGTTCAGCGCATACACTTCATAGGGGCGCTGTTAGACTCGATGGTGGCCATGGCCTCCCTCCCCTGGGACAGATTTGAGACGCTCAAAGGTCTCATCGCCTCGGTCACAGCCTTCCCTGTGAC